ATCATCCTCTAATACACCTAATTTGAATACTAACCTCAACTACATTCCCAGCACTCACACTGCCACACAGATCATCACAGGATCTGCTCTACTTCTTAAGAATATTGATTTTCTCTGATTTACATTTCCAAAAAATGAAACCAAAAGTAACTGTTCTGAGCTGCTCGGCTGAGAGAGGACTGAAGGGTTATTGCAAGGAACACCAAAAGCAACAGCACCATGTCTTTTGTTGGAGTTGGTTGTTGGGTTTTTTAAAAATAATTTGCATCTACAGTTGCTTACATGTAATAAAATGGAACGGGTGGAATCAGAAGGAGAGGGGACACATATACATGTCCTAAGTGATCAGCTAAGAAGCAGGCTAAACATTTATTCACTCCCAACTAATCCTACAAAGGTCAGTCTGAATATACTGAGAGAGAAATCAAGCAAAAACTGATGGCAGATTGATCACAATAGTAGCATAATACAGTATATTTCCAGTTTAATTATTATTCAAGTCAATTAAATATTAATAAATTAATAAAAGTCGATAATTACATGTAAATCAAAATGTCCTGCATTGTATTACACAAACTCCTGCTGGACACAAGATAGTTTTATTCCTACCCAATGCAGGAGGGCAAACAATTGGTGCCACCTACAATAAATTAAAAAGGTGTGAATGAGAAAGACCACATCTCTGCACTAAAAATAACAGTAGCTGCAGGTACCACGTATAAGCATCACATGCCATGTAAGACAGCAAGGATGACCCTTTCATACTGTCTTGATTTTAGGTCAGCTCAGTACTTTGTGGTGATTGGGACAACACACACATTCCCTGCCAAGTAAAATTTCAAGAGAGGGGGAAAACCAGAGGGAAGAATTTCTCTCTCCTTAGGAAAATTCTGTGGTATTTTTAGATTTAAAAAGAAAACACACAAAACCAACAAACAGACACACAAAAAAAGCACTTTAACTCATAATCATAGATTTTTAACCACTGAGACAAAAGAAAACATGAAATAATTTAAGTGCCTCTTCCCTGGAAAATGGGAACAACAGTTTCATTACTTATAGTTTCTGCTAATTTCAGTTTCAATGTACTGCATCACATTTGTGATCAAGAGATGGAAGCAACGTACATCTAATTTCATTAACAAAGTCATTTTGCAAATGCAGTCAGTATTGATTATTTAGGACATTAAAAATCCAGCTGAAATTGTGCAACATCTAAGTCAGAGACGAGGGGTAGCAATGAAGCTATTTAGAAAAAGTGCAGAGAGAAGGGAGAATAAGTGAACTTAGCAAAATCTCAATACATTTACAAGAAACAAACACAAACAAAAAACCCTGATGTGCACAAATTTCATCTGCAAATTCTGTCATTTCTCAGAGCACAGATGACTGAAAGCTTGTAATCACAAACCTGTATATTTAATGGATCCACCAAAGACAGTGTCTCTACTAACTCTTTTGAACCCAAATACTGAGCCATGAGTCATCTACCTCAGGAGCAGCCAGTTCCTTTGTCTTCTCTAACTCATGCATTGCAAGAGGGAAATTATGATGTTGAATGCAAGGACTTCTGCACTCTGAAATTTCATGTACAACAAGTAAACAGCTCGCAGGGAACTTTTGCACAACACACAGAGAAACCCAGCATCTCACAGCAGTTTGGAGGACACGGGTGCAGCTGCAGAAGCAGCTTACAGAGCTTAGGCTGGTTTTAATGAAACTGACCTGAATCTGCAGCCTGGCTCAATATACCTGCTATAATATTCTTTGTTCAACCTGACAGGAAGCAATGATAGCTGATGTCTAACAGAAACACTGCTACCACGCTTCTCCAGGATGGAACACAGAAAGATCACAGTTTTATGAGATCTCTTGCCTAAAGTTTCCAGATAGTGAACTTCTCCAGTCACACCAGCCGTTCGGCAGCTGCACACAAGTTCTGGCAATTTTTAACAGTTTGCTTCCTCTATCTCCTTGAAAATTCTTTCATATGAAAAATAGATCTCTAGTAAAACTGCTAAATTTCTATCAGAAACAAGCGACTGAATGATGTTCTGTTCTTCTCACCAACTCAGTGAAATCCAGTCACTAGACCAACATCAAAACCCCACCAGCTCTGCATTCCTTGAGACTCATAATGCACCAGAAGCTGGGGTGGCAGTGGCTGAGGGAACCCGTGAAACATGAACTCAGAATATCATGTCCTACTCTTATCTAAGCTCCAGGGGAACTCACAATTTACAGAAGATGGAAGCCGCAGCTGGAAGCCAGAAGAGTTTATGAGCAAACAAACCAAAACTCCCTTTAACCAACTAGACCATTGCTGATTTCTGCAACCAGAAAGTCACAGTGAGCTGCAGAAAAAAAAAAATTCCATGGTTTAGTGCAACAGAGAAAGAGTAATGAAATAAAAATAATACTTCTAGAAGAATAAAAAAAATATTAAAACACCAGGTAAAAAAACAGAAAGGACATGAGGAGTTCCAATGAACTTTTACATTGGTTCTGTAGATAAAGAAACACAATTAAGACTAATATTTATATCCTGACTGTATTTATTTATTTTTTTTTCCAGTCACATCATTCAGGAAATAATACTGGTTATTTGCTTGAGCACATATCCGGGTCTGTAGGAGTAATAAAGATCCCAATCATGTACCCTGAACACCTCCTCATGCAAAAGACTCTCTCAAGACTGGGCCCTGTATCTTTGCAAACCACCCAAAGCCACAGCAGGTACTGAAACACCTTCACTGTTTCTGTGGAACAGAAGAGAAACACTGCAGCATTTCCAGAACCAGCCCCTACACCTCAGCTCCTGGTACCACCAGCCTACCTACTTGTGCTGAATGAGAAGCTGTGTCTGGCAGCCAAGCAAGTAAGGGAGCCTGAAGGTGTGTCCGTGTTGAAACAGGGGAAATTCCAACTAGTTCTTAGGAAAAACGTCTGCACAATGAATGGGGTCAAACACCAGAACAGTGATGTTTTGTTGCTGAGAAATCTCTGTCCTTGGGGATATTCCAACTCCAACCAAGCATGACCTTAAGCAAGAAGATAAAACTTTGAAGCTGGATCTAAGCTTGAGGTTGGCCCTGCTTTGAGGAGGGGGCCACAACAAATGAGTGCCAGAGGCCCCCTCCACCTTCAGTTATTCTGCATTTCTATTCCATATTACAGTTTTGTGAAAAAGTGATAGGTGGGGGTGAGGGAAAAGAGCTTACTCCCAAAATACTCTGCAACTTTAAAGCAGAGTGATTCAAAAGGTCAGATTATTAGTTGGGGAAAGAAATGTCATGTTCTACTTTCATTACCGCCCACTGAAACCTTACGCTTGGCTGGTACTCACAAAGAATGTGAAGTGAGATAAAAGCTTAATCTTGAACTTCTGCTGACAGTGTTGCCTGTATGACTTGCTTATCTCTTAATTAGAGAAGATAGTAATAGCTCAATAATACAGTTCAGTTGTAATCTTAGATCATCAACCATCTCCCTTTATGTCCTTCCTGTTCATCAGCGCATTAGCATTGCCAATGGTAGTGTCATCAAATGCCTAAAAATGTCAGAAAAAAACCCAGTTATTGGAAATAGTGAAGAGTTCCTATTGCTGCAGCTGATTTTAATACAGCATCAGAGTAATGCTGTGGTAAATAATCTTTGTGGATATCTGGACTAAGCAAGAAATTGATAGAGCTCTGAGCAGCAGGATCTGTGACCACGAGCAGGGAGCCTGCCTGGCTTTGGGGCAGAGCTGCTTCCCAGCTGATGGCAGGATGCTGGATTTTGTCCTCAATATTGGCCTCAGTTGTGACTTTTTAATTTCTGTCATTAGTGAAAAGTAGGGTAGCATGTCACCCACAAGCACCGGCTTAAGCTGCTATAAACCCATAAGCTGCTGTGAACAGCCACACACTCAGCACTTACAAGAACTGCCAGAATTTAGAGGCAAATATACCCTCAGAGCACAATCCCTGCTTCCATTGGCTCCAACAGGCCATCTCTCCTGTGAACACTGACAAAAACTTGAACTATAGAAGGACAAGGCAGTGATGCTGCAACATCAACTGTATGGCAACAGGCAACTGGAGGATTTGCTTTTGTTCCACATAGATTTCTACGCACTAGAGCTTCCATACACAAGTGCCATTACATGTTCCCTCCTGAATCACTGATATTGCAGCCAGGGCTTGGAATGGCCTGATGTTGTTTTCAAAGGCTGCAAGCAACATAATTGCCTTGTTTGTTTTTCTCCCTGCTTCCCATTACTTTCACCACAACATTTACATTTAGGAGATGTTACAAGATGCAAATATATACAGTGGTCACACAAGCATAACCAACTATTAAAAAAGTCCTAAGACTGTGAGAGTGCCTGACATATCTAAGGGGATCCACCATTCCTGTGACAACAGAACTACATTAAAAAGATAACAATTATTTTTAATAAAACTTATGCAAAATCTGCTAGCAATTAAAAAGAGGACAGGTGAAAGCACCCTCCTGTTTCCAGTTTCCCATGCTTATGTCTTCAAAGAAAGTTCTTAATTTTGCTATTAAAAGTGTATCAGGGTAAATTAATACATATAAAGAGAAAAAATGCTACCATCATAGATTTTGATAACTCTGCTACAATGGAACCTGAGCAAAATACACTTTAGGACACATTTAAATGACTGCAGCTCACCTGGCAATATCAATCTCACCTTTAAACTCGCAAACTCACTTAGCAGCATATTTGTTTCAGCAGAACAGGGTGACTCAAGTTGAAGTTGCAAAACCTACTGGAGAGGCTGAATAAATACCTGGCTGACTAGTCAGTCCCGAGTCACCAGACTTTAGTGGTAGCTCAAATCTTGAGTACTTCTGTTCAGAGTGACAGCAGTACAGGTCCCAAAGCTCAGTGGAGACTGCATGCAATTACTTCCACACATTCATAGTCCTCAGCATCTGAGGAATTCCATGTAAGATCAGGACTTTTCATGAACCTGCTGGTGGGCACATACCAATTGGATCTGCTAGATCACAGGCACAAGGCTCAGGATCTTGCCGACTTGAGCTCTGTACCACGGAATCCAGCAGCTCACGAACTTTGCACTCGTGCAATTTGAACAGAACAAAAGCCAGATGTTCTAGAAGTCAACAAGAAGTGAACTATTTAAAGAGAAATAGGATGGTGCCCCCTGACAGATTGCTCTCAAGAAAAAAAAATAATATATATATAAAATGGAAAATTGGGTATGAGTCACACAATCCAATGTACCTTGATAGTAACTTGCCTTCCTGAAATGTACTCATGTCATTAAGACTCCTCCCATTTTAAGCATTTTTGCTAGACCAAAATAATTTTGATTCTCTCATTTAAGATCTATTCCAAACAATGAAGACCAGTTACTTCAGATAAAAATGCCTTCATTTTGCATCAATAGTTTGAAAAGCCAATGCTATACTTTTCAAATTAAACATTTATGGCAGTAATAAAAAGCCAGACCCCAAAGATATCAGAATGTTTCTCAGAAGAGTCAAACAGCAGAGAAATCTACACTGAGGTTGCCCCTAATGCTGAGTTTAAATAGGCAACACAACCTTGAAATGGAAAATTGGGTATGAGTCACACAATCCAATGTACCTTGATAGTAACTTGCCTTCCTGAAATGTACTCATGTCATTAAGACTCCTCCCATTTTAAGCATTTTTGCTAGACCAAAATAATTTTGATTCTCTCATTTAAGATCTATTCCAAACAATGAAGACCAGTTACTTCAGATAAAAATGCCTTCATTTTGCATCAATAGTTTGAAAAGCCAATGCTATACTTTTCAAATTAAACATTTATGGCAGTAATAAAAAGCCAGACCCCAAAGATATCAGAATGTTTCTCAGAAGAGTCAAACAGCAGAGAAATCTACACTGAGGTTGCCCCTAATGCTGAGTTTAAATAGGCAACACAACCTTGAACAATTAGAGAATATTCCACTTCAATTAGCCAAGGAATAAATGACTTGTGAACACTACAAACTTGTAAGAACTGGTTTTGATCATTTAAGCTTTTCTGACTAGTAGATGATTAGCAATTACTTCAAGCTCCAAGTGCAACTGTGATGACACAACTGCATGCACAGCTTCAAGAGTGAAACGAATCCACACTCCTGACTTCCCCACCCCGTGCTGCAGTCCTTATCTACAGCATAGTTTCTTATTTTAAACTCAGTCTACTTATTTTTCTCAATTCATTTTTTGAACAGCTAAAGAAATAATGAAAAATAAAAATATATTTTAAAAAATCAATCAGCATGTTTGTATTCTATTACACTGACTTTGAGGTTTGAAATACAAATGGTTCAAAAAGCATCAGTTCTTATTTTCTGTTTAACAAATAATGATTTCTCTCTGTATCACTAATGGAGCCTGAAATTGAAATGGATTTTTAGTTGAGCTCCTGCTCGTACTCCGGTGTCATCATCAGTAGCAGCCTCGCTCTAGGAACAAGATTTATCTCAGCTCTCCATTACAGGGCTGCAAGCTGCTTAGGAAAAGCACCAGGCAGATTCCCAGCAGGCCCACAAACAGAACCCAACACCAGGGTTACATAAAGTTTGAGATTCTCTAGGACTTCACTTGTAAACCTAAAATTAGGCCAATCTTGGAAGCAAACCACCTCAGCTGCTGCAAGCAATGGCTTAACACTAATTATGGTTATTAGGGCTAAATCCTTATATAGGTTGAGTTTCTCTAAAACACTTTAAGTAACTTTAAACATTCAAGAACACGAGCATTTTATCACAACACAGTTCTGCTGTAGTTCTGCCACAAACCACTGCCAACTTTTGCATCTTTTTCAGACATCTTTAGTGCAAGTAGGTAAAATGCAATTGCTTGCCTGCAGCTAACTGCACCAGGTAGGTGATTCCTAAACTGAGTCTGGGAAAATGAGTCTGTACCAAGGTAGTTCAGTCATAGCTTCCCAAGAGCTGGCTGTCAGTGCAGAAGACACAGGGCCATTCTTCTGCAAGTAGCACACAATCTGAATGTTTAAAAAACACCACAGAGTTTTGTTATTGCATCTCTAATGTATCCAGTGGGTGGAAGTGTTTGCATCTCACTAAATGTCTTTAAAAATACATATGATCCTTGAAATTAGTTACAAAGGAAAAAATTGGGGGAAAAGTTCTAGCAAACTGTTCAAAATCTGAGAGTCTTTTGACAAACCACTCTCTTCTCTTCCCCCCCACAACTATATTTTAGGAATTAAAGCACTCCCTTCTTTATACCTAGGGGATATGCTCATTTTAGGTCTGTTTGGCATAAGAAAATCAAAGGACTGAAAAAAAATCAGCAAGAAAACATCAAAGCCAAATCAAGGAGCATCCTGTATTTAATGAATATAAAATAACTTTGAATATGGACTTTCAGCACCTCTGTACATGTTTTTTACAAGCTCATGAGACACATTTAAGACACAAAATAAGGAAGGTACTTATTTTGCAGAAAAGACCAGAAAAATCAGTTAGGAGACTAATATATGCAGCTTTAACTTGCCTACAAGACTTAAATTCTGCTCCTGGCCAGTGAAATTGCTCAAGAAAAGTTCTATATAGCAACATAGCAAAGAAAGAAAAGATAAAGTGACATAAATAAGGAAGGTTTAGCACAAAACAAAGCACAGATACAAACAGTAAACATTCTAAAATCATGCAGATTGTCTGGTATTGTTCCTAACAGCCTGATTTTAAGAATTTAATCCAGGATATACATCCTTTCTCAAACAGAGGTTGATGAGGTTAATGCAAGGGTAGCTGCCCAGCTGTTAAGAGCATGTCCTTTGAAAGCACGTCATAAAACAGAACTGGGGGCTACCTATTTTACCAATAATGTCTAACATTCTCCATCAAACTAAGCAGTTTATCATAGGATTACAAGAAGATTACTGAAATGCATCGTATGAAAAAAACCCTTCAAAACAGATTTTGACACAGTGACAGCCTGGAAGGAGAAGAACCATATGAAACCTGGGAAAAAAACCCAGAGCCTTTCTACTCATGCTTGAGTCATATTTGATATCATATTTTTACATTTCACTAATATAGTAGCTTCTATACATTATAATAACTAGATTTTTGTTTCAAATATTTTTTCTCTCTCACTGTCAGCACTTACTAGCTCAATAAAAACTTAGTAGCTGAATATAGCAAAATCCTACTTAATTAGGAACAGAGGACTGAAAAGAACCTCCAAGGGTAATTGAATCCAGCTCCTTGCTCCTACTGGCAATGATGACACAATTCTTTTCAGAAGGTCATATTAAAATCACTTGGTTTCTTGGACTGCTAATCTCTTCAAAAAGCTATTCCAGGACAACTGCCTTCCAACAGTCAGAAGACCTGCAATTTTCATCCTAAACTTATTAACAAGATATACTTATTTGTCCTTGGATTAACACTGGATCACTGGCCTAAGTGTTATAAGCACTTCTGAGATAAAAATGTCACTAGCAGCATTTGAAGTGAAAAAGAGAAACAGTATGTGATAGAAATAAAAATAAAATCAGTGCTGAAATAACAGCTTTTATTTTAAATGTACAACAGCAAACTGCAACCACTCAGTGACAAAATATCTTGAGGATCTGTCAACCCATTCCAACAGCTACAGAGCAAACCAGAACACACACAGTAAACCAGCAACACAGGATACAAACAAGTGGCAGAACAAAGGTTTCACAAAGGTAATTTAGAATCCTAAAATTAATAGAATTCTCAAAATAAAGAGCAAAACCTTTGGGCCTTTAATTTTAAATAATAAGGGAGTTAATAAGCTCCCCATTAAAAAAATTCTTTTTTTTTTAAGGATAGCAGAATCTGGTGACAAATCTAGAGCATTCCATCTGACACTTGAGGTTTTGCAACACTGTCAAGGAAACACAGCTCTGAATAACCATAGTTACAAGAACCTTTAGATTGCTGATGCAGAGAGCATTATATAGAGTATTTGGTTGAAAACCTCACTATTTAGGGTTTTTAGTAGGCTGAAGTAACTACTACTTTGCCTGTGCAGGTTCCTACATAAATTACCAGATGGAAGTGGTCACAAACAGACACCTGACCCTTATTTAAATTAATGCCTTTTTAAGTACAAAACCCACTGTCATACCCTTCAGTTTCACATACTTCAGCTTCTCCTGTTCAAAACTTCCTGTATTAAACACTGCTATGGATTTCTACTTATATTTAACAATGAAAACTGATAGACAATTAATTTTCCCCATTCATTACTGCCTTAGTCTTCTTACATCATATATTTCAAGATATTAATAGAGGCCCTAAAAATAAGCAGCACACAGAACAGCCAGGGGAGATACCTAATACTCAACAAAATGCAGTCAAGGGGACGAGCAGCACAGCTATTTTTAGCAAGAATAACATTTTCTTTTATATAGGAGTTAAAAGACTAATTGATTTGGTGGAAAAATTAAAAGATTGAAGACACAGTTCACCAAACATGTCACAACTGGGGCAGCTTGGGGCATCCCTCACCTCCCTGGCACACCACATGCAAGCAGAACAGTTTTTGGCAGCTCTCATTTCAAAATTTTGCCCCATTTGAACTGTGAAATGTATCCCTTCTAGGCCATCCACCAAGAGCATCGAATATGAGATGTTAGAATTACAATTCAATTGGTAGAGAAAACTACATGTATCTATAATCAAACATTTTATAAATATAAACATGGTGTCAATGTTCCACAAGGTCAAAACCAGTGGCTCACCACCAGAATGAAAGGAAATCTTTACTTCTAAACTCTTTTCAGATTTTGATGCTATTTAAAATTGAAACAAAGAATCAAGAAATAAATATATACATTTCAGAATATTAAAATCTGCAATATTTGGGGGAAAACCTAGAAGTTTCTTCTACTGTGACTCAGGTTTGATTACATCATGATTTCACATGCTATTTCAGTCACAAATGCTGCTCTTACACAGTAACTTGAACATAAATAAGCCCTGAAAGATTAAAAACAGGTGAGAGCACCACTTAGTTTCACCAATTTAACTTCAAAGACAACTGGTGAGTTTATTCCCTGGGTTTGAGCACAGAATAAAACTTCAGCTGTGGAATTGATTCTTATATGATTATCTAGTATAAATGAGTACTCTGGAGGAAATTTTGAAACATTTTTAAGACAAAGTGAACTTCAACAACACTTAGTTATGAAATTAACTACCTTGCACCTAAGCTTATGGAAATGACTAAGACAACAGAAAAACAAATCACAGCAGGACCAGACCTTGCGAATGTTTCCACAGACAGAGTGATAACAATACAAAAACAAAACCCAGTTTGCTTCGTTCACACCAGTGTGCAAACACTGCATTTCTTTCAGCTGCTTAAAATATTTCAAGATTGCTTTTTGCCAAGTAAATTTTTTTCACCCCAAACATTCTAGAGATGGTCATCACAAACTGAGCTTCACTGTACAGCTTTTATTATGATCACTATTAAACTCAGAATAAGAAGACTTAAATTTTCATAACATTCTTGACATAACCTCCTTGCAGGATAACTGACGAAAAGGAAAGACAAGAAAATATTCACATGAGAAAAAAAAAATAATCAAGTAGCAGTGTTCAAACCATTTATGGTGGTCCAGTGTAATACTTCATGATCCCCAACAACCACCACCTCTGAGAGAGTTAACAGGAGGGAAACACATTTTAAAATGATCTCTTTGATTCCTTTCACCATTTCATAAATGGAACATGTAGCCCTGTAAAGTAATCCACTGAAATTTTGAACGAGGAGCAAGTGGGAGATCACACACCCTGTTAATGCTCATTCAGAACTATCTGCACAGAAACAAACAGTCCAAGCCCCAAGGAGAGATTACCTGGTACCACGATGAGGCTGGTAGTATCAATAGTCCTCAGTTAATTATTTCTAAAGAGTAATAATTAACGTCTCAGGGAGGTGGAGTGGTTTGCTCCAGATCTTCCTCTGCAAGATATTTCAAGTCTTACCACTTAAAACATGCAGTTGCTTCACTTGGCAGAGGTGCTCTACCAGGAAAAGTGAGAAACTCTCCTAAACAGCTAAAAATGACAGCTCCAAAGAGTCAGTTCCCTAAAGTTTTAAGTATTTCATTTAAATAATATTCAAATAAAATGGATCATAGATATAATGCTCCTTTTTCAGATTTCTATCCATTCCTAAAGAAAAAAACCAAGGTAGCTGAGGGCACCACTGCTCAAGCTGCCATGAGCAGTGCTCAGAACTGATGCTCTCTGACCCAGGCCTGAAGGGACCCCAGGCAGGTTCAGGGACCCCTGGCAGAGCAAGATCCCCTGACTGCCTGCCAACCAGCTCCTCAGGCAGGCCCTGCAGCCTGCTGAGTACTGTGCTGCCAACGCTATGCTTGATACTGACACCTGCACTACCTGGCAAGGTCAAACTGCAGCTGCACAAGCTGAAATCCCCAGAGGAAAGGCAGTGTGGGCAGACAGGTGCCTCTTCCAGCCTCAGCAATAGTATTTCACCTGTAGAGCTTGAAGGGAGCCATACATGGGAGGTTCAGTTATTATAAAATATTTCAGATGTCTAGTAAGTACAGCAACTCAGCTGCACTCACTCTGCAGCACTAGGTTGCTCACAGAATCCTCTCTCTGACCAGTGACAGAGCCCTCAGTGCTGCTCAGCCACCTTCAACCCGAGCCCTGCTCCAAGGCATTCAGTGCCCCATGGGAAGTGCCACTTTTCCTGCATTGCACATCAGAGAACTCACTCTTCCCTAGAAGTTATCCATAACTAAAAGGCTGTCATGTCACAATATACAGGGTAGGGGCTCCTAGGTTATTTTTAGCCCAGGCCAGCTGGCTGTTGCAGTTCAGAGAATGATTTCTCGAGAGTAAGAAAAATAGTAGTAATGATAGTAAAGTAAGGAAAAAGATGAGTCACATGAAATGTCATTATAAACTGATTTCTAATTATAAAACTAAATGACTATACTTAACATTTAAAGAATACCAAAAAAGTTTCAGAATACATTTCTAAAATATTGTTGTTTATGCTAAAATGACTGTTAGTGGCAAAGCAAAGTAATAGAAGCCAAAGATCCTGCCATTTACTACTGACATCTTTGATGCAAGTACTATCATACAAGGCTTTAAAGAAATTAAACAGTACAAAATACTTTTCACTTACTGCTATTAAAATATTAATAACTGAAAAAAAAAAAGTTCCTAAAGACTCAACAAGAACTAGAAGGAATTACTTAATTTCAAATAAAACCTGAATAGCAGTGAAATATAAGCCTGAATTTTTTTCAAATATATGCAGGATAACATCCTGTGGAAGTTTTAGTTTCCTGGAACACAATCCTCAAAGTTTGACATTCAAAGTGTTCTAAGAACACAGAAGACCTGCAGCAAAGTGCAAATCCAGCTGTCCATATGGTCCAGGAACCACCATGGCTTCCCTGAGAGAGGACACCCAAGCAGGTCCCAGCTCTGCAGCTCCTGGCACTCAACCTTTGCCAAGGCTCCTCCTGCTCCCTCTTCTCTGCTTCCTGTTTCTCGTTTCCTTCTCCTACATTTTCACAGGAAAAACTATCACGATGGCATACATTCAGGGCAGGTAAACTCTTGCCAGGCACATATTCCTTCCAGGGAAGGAGAGAAGAGAATGAGCCCACACAAGTTTCACTCTAAAAGCTGGAGCTATGTGGGCTCTGGAGGCAGGGCAGGGCAAGCCAAGGCATTCCAGGCTGAGCTCTCCTGCCCCACTGCTCCAGGCTCCAGCACAGCCCTGCAAGGGAGCAGGCTGGTATGCAAGCATTTGCCATCTCCAGGAGGAGTCATGTACTCACCCTGCAAACCCAGAACCAGAGTCATGGTCTAGAAGGAGGATTCTAAATTTCAGAAATATACTAGGAACCACACTCCAACCCCAACACACGTTCACCTCTTCAGCCCTTACACACAACCAGCTGCAAACACTGATTTAACAAAGCCAGAACAGCAGGCACCAGTGGGCTCCATAATAATTTGCAAAAAGTCTGACCCACATGGGTTTCTGAATCCTGTACTGAACTAAAACAGAGGAAGCAGTGCACTGCCTTTCCAACCTAAATACATAAAATCTTCTAACTATGAAATCAGAATTTAAATTCACACTTGTCAAGCAAGTGATAAAATGACAACACTGGAGCACTGACAATCTTGGCTCTGGCATGGGCAGGGCTGTTGCAGTTTACAGAAACTCTTCACAGAATGGAATTAATGCCAGCTAAATGGATGATCTTAGGAACAGATTAGTTGGGAACAAGCAGCCACTGAGAATGGAATCCATTATACATTTGTTCTCATTTAAACAACCCCTGAGTCATGTAGCATCCTGCAGAAGGCTAAACGTTGAGAACAGAATACACTTCCCCAGCAGAAAACTACATGGAAGAGTAAGATACCATAGCTCATTCTTCAGGTATAGCAAGTTATAAAAATAATTCCTCCTTGAAGACCAAATCAACTGAATTTGCTTCTAAACAATGACCTCCTTTATAATATTTGGCTTGAAAAAATACAACTTCCCATCAGGCAAAAAAAACCCCACACCTTATTAATAGAATGGTGGAGGTTGGAAGGGACCTTACAGATCACCAGGTTCCAAATTCCCAGCTATGGGCAGGGACACCTCCTACCAGACCAGGCTGCACAAACCCCATCCAACCTGGCCTTGAACACCTCCAGGGAGGGGCATCAACAACCTCCATGGGCAACCTGTTCCAGTGCCTTCCTACCCTCAGGGTGAAGAATTTTTTATGTCTAACCTAAATCTCCCCTGTTCTGCAGAATAAAGCACAAGGGCAAAACAGGAGGAGCTCAGCTGAAGCAGCACTGTACAGAGCAGTGTATCCCTGCTCTGAATCGCTCTGTTCTGTTCCTGTACTGACTCATCCCTTTAATACTCAGACTCCTTAGGACAAGGATTCTTGTAAAGCAAATACATTTTCACACAAGTCTTTGTACAATGATGAAAACAAAAAAAAACGTCCTGTCTGTTGCATATTTATCTTGTGTCCTTGGTTCTGACACACCTGTATAACCTGAGCTTTACAGCTGGTGATGCAAATTGAAAAAAAAAAAAATTAGCATGCAAATGAGAACACAATTGCATTTCTAATATTTTGGACACCTTTAACTCAATGACAGATACGCAGAATGTTACTGTCTAAAGACAGCATTTAGACAAACCAGAAATGTTTTTGAGTCAAGTACCATAAGCATGTTAGGATCTGCAAGTCCATGTGTGAAAAGAAAGCCCAAGGGTGTGCACACACAGGTAGTGAGCAAAACCAGAACATCTGGATCTCTGATGAATATCTGCTTTTTTACTTATAGGTTGTCAGTAAGTTTAACACTTGTGTTTATCAGAGACCTTGGTATTTTCTCAGAAGAAAGCATACAGATTTGATTAACCCTAAAAATAAAACACCATCTTCACAAATGGCTCTTTTCATAAAACTAATCTGGAGAGACAGATGCAATTTTAAAAAACACACTGGTTTAATGCATTAATCAAGAGAAAGGTTAACGTTTCCCATCAACACAAACCCCATTTTTGGACACAGCTGTTCTGAAGCCAAGCAAACTTTGACATTTTAAATTTTTCAATAGAATCCTCATATAAACTGGTCTCACGAGATAACTTAACAAATAAGATACGCAGAGAGGTTTCCACATCCCAACTTATCTCAAAAGCAATTCCCATTTTAAAACCAGCACTGAGTAATTTTAGAACTATTATGCAGCTACTACACATCAAATAATAACCAGTGTTCTACCTCTTCTCAAACCAAAGTCCGAAATATGCGTTAGAAAAAAGATCTGTTCTATTTTCAGTTGGAAATTTTGAAGGATTCAATTTCAAGCCTGCAGAAAGAAATTGATGTTTTATCCTCTGTTAACAAGTAATACAAAACTCATGATCTTCCTTCAGGGCTTCCACTTCAAGTGCCACATCAATGCTTTGCAAAGTTCTGGTGCTGTAATTGCGACTACACTTTTAAGAACAGGTAAGTGAGGCTTGTGGCACTTGTGGAGAGAGCACGAGACGGTGAGGAAGGGAAAAGACTGGGAGCATCAGGGCTGCAGGAGAGGCAACTTCAGAACTAGGACATGCTGTTATAAAACACAGTAGGACATCAATTTCTAAGAGCAGACATGTGGCCTTGAAAAGCATCCTCATGGCAACACAGATTACGCCATTAAAGCAAATTAATAAAATATCAAAGTTGAGGGCTAAGCAAATGTTAAGGGATTGATTCATAGTCCCGATGCTTTCCTTTTGAATGCAGGATATTAAGGCAGCCTTCCTGCAACAATAAGGCAGCAACATACCTAAAAGTCAAGACTAAATCTGGAGTTATAAACAGCTAAAATTTGCAAGCTATAACTTTTGGAAAGGCACGTCCCACAGGCAGACTGCAGACTGACAGCCCCAAACTACAGCATTCACTCTGCAACAGCCAGACACACAAAACAGTTGGAGAGAAGCCAGAACAACCCAACTCCATCTAGGTCTGCTCTGATCTCTTTTCAGAGCTCATTGGCATGGTCCACACTTGACTGTTCAGCACAGCTGTTTCTGAAGCCACTCCCCATTCTAATAATGTTTTTCCCATCCTATTTCACAATAGACTTAAACATTATTTCCAACAGATGCATTTTGTACTCCAGTAATTCAGTGATATTTCCTGATGCCTGGTTAACACAAAAGCTGTAGCTGGTTGATCCAAAGATTGCATCTGCTACCCTGCGTCTCACCATCAGGTCAGAATGAATTTCTAACTGCAGAAAGAGATACCACAGAAGAATAAATCACTCCATTTTCAAGCCTCAACCTAGGGATAAATAATTTCCCCATACAACAGGAGCTGGAATTAAGGGTTCTATTTTTGTAAACAGGCTGTAGCAGGGAAAAAAAGTAAAGAAAAAACTAATCCAGGTAAATATTTTCGTATCCATATTACAGCAAGAGAAAATGCCTCTAGATGATTTTCTCCAGCAAGATCATTCTCTTTCCCATTACCCATCCTATTTCTGTCATGCTCTTAATTCAGATCTTGCATGCAGCACACAACCCTGGCTGGAAGCACCCATTCACCCTGAAACTCAATAGTAACTACAGACAGAACATTGCTCAAGGACCAAGTTTCTCCTCCCACATCATGTACGCAGAGCCATTGCCTGAGCTTTCCTTACAGCACCACAACAGGAAAGCTGGATACTAGGGGATGAGAACTTACCTGTTGTGAACCAAAGCTACAGTAAGTATATTTTATACCCAATGTATGTTTCAGATGGTGTTTACAACTCTGTCCTTACATAAAGCCACAACAAGCATACTTCAAATTATATCAAGTATTTATATCACAGAGCATTTTTTTTTAATTTTAAGATCTTATGCTATTAAATTGACATTTCAATACAAAGCTCAAATAATTTCCACTTGAGAAAAATACATATGGAAGGGGACAAGATAGTGTGCACCCGTATCAGCATACTTAGTGTGTCTCCAGGTTGCTAAACCTACTGTATCAAGGACATCTTGCTTTACTGAATATTAATGCAGAATTCTGCAAAACAGAAGGTTTCAGCTATTCAGACCATCTCTACTCTGCAAATGAAAATAAGTATTAAAGCCTCTATTATTAAATACAGATTAAGGTCGGCTCCCAACAGTTGTTCCATATAAAACAACCTAATAGATGTTCAGTGACCACGATACTGATCCATTGAGCCAAAGCAGCTTGCAAGATCCAGGCTTTAAAATACTAAGAACATTTATTAGCTCAACATGAATACACTCCTACACTCCTACAAAGAGTACCCTTGACTGCAGAACTGACATGAACTGTGTTTTGGATGTTCTGGAAATATATCAGTCATGCTACCTGCTGGGCAGCCTAGTTTCTATTCTCTACATGTCACATTTGATGGTTCTAAAATTAATTCCACTGATTTTATCACCAATTTCCTTTTCATTTTGTCATGTTAAATGTCAAATGAGCCACAGGTCTGACACTGCCCTTTTAATTATTACAACAAAAGCTTAAAGATGATACCACACACATCCCTCCTCCTCTTCAAAGAAAGGCTCAACAAAACAGGCAATAGTAAGAATTCAAAGGCCGATATTTGCATAAGTTGAAAAAAGCCAAGAAAAAGCAAGATTTATGAAAAATTTAATTCTACAGTAAGTTCTGCAATCAGTACTGTTTCTGATGTACTGATTTAAATTACAAAACAAGCTCCATGGATTGTTTAAGACTTTGTGAAAGTTTACTGAGTACATTTATCAATGCTTTTTACAGAAAGCTTGTCTATAAAACCCTGCATAAATCCAGTTAGACCTCCCTAATACATTAATGATGTATGATCAAGTTTTTTTATTCCCTCCATCAATCTTCAGCTACACATTTACTTAAATAATCAATACTTCAAAACTATGGTATGTCCATAAATTCAAGGCCTCGCCTCAATGAATTTGTTCACTCAGTATCTACTAACATGGAAGTCTCAGTCACTGTCAGTCACATTAACCTACCCACCCACATTTTATTGTTCTGTTATCAGGATTCAAAAACACTTAAGATCACACTAGCAGTAAAAAGCTTTGGGACTCATGTGTCCATTACGGTGACTGGGTTGTTTAAAAACTGAAGCTGTAGTTGCAGCACATAAATGATATGCTCATTATAAAAATGCACAACAGCAGCACAGACCCAGAGAGGAGTTTAAGGCACAAGCAGGAAACAAAAGAATCTGAAGTCAAAGACCTCCTAGAGAAACCAGGATGCAATGGTGACAAAGGTTTGCCCTTCCTCTTCCCA